GAGAGAGAGAGAGAGAGAGAGAGAGAGAGAGAGAGAGAGAGAGAGAGGCAGACACACACAAATAAAACTAAATAAACCTTTCTTAAAAATTAATTTAAAGTAAGTTTGGTTATTACACCTGAGCTAAGGAATGGTAGCTGTCCTGTGCTCTTTGATAATTTGGGGTTTGGGGGAGGGCCTTTGATTTTCCATGGGCAGCTATGACTTTGATCTCACAAAATGCATTTATGTATGTGTGTATCTATTTATTTATGTCGGAGATCAGCCCCGGGGCTCCAGGTTTGCTAAACAAGCACTCTACCACTGAGCTATATCCCCAGCTATCAGACATTAGTCTGAATGTGATTTAATACGAATATGTGCTAAAAAGTGCCATCAAAGTCCTAGTTAATTGAATCGGGGATGGCCAATCTATGCTTGCTGCACGGGTGGCTCACAGGGTGTGGGAACGCAGAGAAGTCACTGCCAGCCTCCTGGTAGCCAGACACCTCCCCTGGAGCACCCTGCAGCAAGGGGAGAAGTGCGGGTACAGGGCCCCAGTCCATAGTCCCATCTGTCCGCCCAGGGCTTCAACCCGCAGCTCCCACCCAATCTAACCCAGTCTAACCCAGTGGAATCCAGCCCAGCCTAGCCCAGCATGCTCCGGCAGCGCTGCCGCTCCTCCTCCTGCTTGTCAGCCAGGCGGCTCTCCAGCAGCCGCAATTCCCTGAGCACCGCCTTGCGCATGGATGGCTCCAACTCCAGCACTTTCTCCAGGTCTGCCTTGGCCTCCTCAGCGTTCCACACCTCCGCATGAGCACGTGCGCGCATATAGTAGGCCTTCACGATCCCTGAGGGAAGAAGCGCGCTGCACTCACCCAGCCAGTCCCAGAAAGCCCAGGCACTAGGCTACTGAGCCTTGGTTTCTTCCCCAATCCTGTAGCCAATTTCACTTTCAGAGCTCTACATTGTTCCCACTGAGGACCCAAGCTTTGTCACCATCAGACCCTGTCCTCATACCTGGCCAATCTGGGTGACTGTGAGGCTCAGTGCAACAAGGGTGGAGGTGCCTGCAGCAAGTGTGTGCTGTTAATCGAACTTAGCATTAATCAAGGGCCTTCTCAAATACTGCCAGAGACCTGCTTTCAGTGTGACTTCATATTTTTCTCTAGATTGCTGGCCTCCTTTCAAAACCTGGCTGCTACTCCCAAATTCATGGAATACACAGCCATATGCACATTTGAAAAACACAAAATACATACGATTTTAAAGCCACCTCCCTAAAGCCTGGTATAACGACACACACCTGTAAAGCCCAGAGCTCTGGTGGCTGAGGCAAGAGGATCACAAGTTCCAAGTGAGCCTGGACTAGATGGCTGGCCTCAGTCTAAAACAAACACCTCTCTCCATAAAATATCACCCACCCAGAAGCACATACCATGCAGTTGCAGGCTTGTGAAAATGCACTGGAAGAAGGCAAGTTTCCATGCCTCACAGGGTAGGAAAGGTCTACTGAGGCCTTCCAAGGTGGCTGAGACCTGGTTGCCCCACCTACCCAACCCCCACTCGGCTTCCTCACCCTCACTCCTACTCTCCCTCACCCCTACCCCCAACCCCTCACCCCTGCCAGAGCTGCACCTGGGTGGTGTCGTAGAATGTCGCTGGTATGCTCCAGCACCTCATAGTACTCCTCTTTCTTCAGCAGGCACTGGCAGTAGTTGAGGATTAGGGTGTTGATCATCTTCTCCAGTTTCAGCCACTCAACCTCCCAAGGCTTCTCCTGTGGGGCAGAAGCTCAGCCACCCGCTGCTTAAGGCTCATCCCAGCCCACCCAGCCAGAGGTAGCCTCACACCTTGGTCTGAAGGTTCCTCAGACACACAATGGCCTCCTGGTATTTGGTGGCAGCCTGCTCATAGCGGCCCAGCTTGTAGAGCCTGTTACCTTCTCCATGAAGAAGAGGCACAGCCTGCATCCTCTCCTCATTATTCAGGTTCCATGTCTCCCTCTGGTACTCGTTTGGGGCCTCCACCTAGACCAGGAGCTACAGGTTAGCTGGGCAAAGACCAGACAAGATGGCTGCCAATGTCCTTCTGAAGGGATTTGCTATGTCCCACAGTGAGGCACCACACTAGAGTAGGACTTGCTGGTTAAGACCATAGCCAGCAAAAGGACAGAGCAAAGAAGCAACAAGGCCCAGTCCTGCCCTAAGCAAATCAGTGACTTTGGGCAAATTATGAAAACGCTCCTTTTTTTTAAAGAAAGTTTGCTTTCAATAGTTGGAAAATTGTCATGAGTACTCACTGTGTTAGCACAAGACACTTTTATTGCCATCTGGTGGGAATTTATCATCATAATAACACAAACATGTAGTATCTACAGACAGTGTCTTGGAAGGGATGTTCTGGCTCAGTGTACAGACACAACTGTTCTTTTCTACTTCCCCATACAGTCCTTGTGTTGAGCCTCAACTTTGCTCATAAGCTGAGTCCTGGCCTGGCCTTGACCTTGAGGCTGGTTCTTCCAGATCCTTGCAGGATCTCATATTGTGCCAGACCCAAGTCCAAAGCCACAAATCACAGGGACCAAGGCTGCAACTCTAAATCTTGCAGAAATGGAAGCAGATGACCAATTGAATAAAAATGCTTCAAAAATGAAATGAAATCTGTTTTCAAACATTGGTTCTGAATGAGCTTTTGCCTGGTGGGGATGGGGGAGGAGCTGTTTTTGCAACTTTCAGTTCTGCTGGGGTCCCTGGCTAGCCTCTTGTTTTCTATAGAAACATGTGGAGTGGGCATAGGGGTCTGAAGCATCCCTCTGACACCTGCCTCCTACCTGCAGCAGCTCAATCAGGAAGACAAGAGGCTGTGGTTCTTTCTGCAGCTCATCCAGGTCCTCGTAGCCCAGCGTGTGGTATGCAAACATGTTGGCCAGCCCGCACGTGTGCACATGCCAGCTTGTGGGGTCCTTTCCCTCAGCCACCTGCCGCAGACTGCGGGACAACATAGGGTAGACCCCTGTGTGCTGTAGAGATATGGAGGGTGTACCTCAGCTGTCAGAGCCTACCAGGCCACACCCAGCCCATGCCACATCCCTCACAACAGAGTGCTGATGTCCCAGGACACCCCCCCCAAAATAACCATATTTCTCGGTGTACCACCAACTGCCTTATATCTGTCAGCACCTCTTGTCCTCATGACCATCCATCAAAGGAGCCACTGTGATTATCCTTGTGCTGCAGATGTAGAACAAGAGCCTGGAGGGGTTAAGCAACTTTCTCAAGATCATACAGCTAGGTGTGACACAGACAAGAGTCAAACCTGCCTCCCCAAGCTGTGCTTTTAGTCACACATTGCCTGCTTATAGCCTTGTGGTCAATATAACACATTTCTTCCCCCAAGGAACCCTTGAGCCTCACAAGCCCAAGGCTCCCAACATGCAGCAGTGGAGGGAGCAGGGCCCTAGAACTGAGAGAGCCATCAAATGTGACAGTGCAGGTGCATGTCTGGTCTGATCCAGCTGCATCCAGTGCAGAGTTGGCCCTTGGGGTTCAGCAAGGCCTGCTCCATGCCAAGCCTCAACTTTCCAGTTGAGCCTCAGAGCCCATGTCCACAGAGGTGAAGTTGTCCTGCTCAGGCCCCTACAAAGAGTTTCTAGTCCCTTGCTGCTGGTAGGACAGACAGAAGCTGAGGGTTGAAGGTCACCTTCCCCGACCCCGACTGGCTTGGATTAGCCCAGATGCCTTCTGAGAGGCAAGGCCAGATGGCAGGTGCCTGAGGATTAAGGCTAGGATAAGGGAGGGGGCACCGGGCTCCCATCAGCTTGCTTCCAGAAGGAACCAACCCACTGGTGCTATTTGAGCAGGACCTCAGACAAAGGCTGAATTCTGCTAGACCCCTGCCAACCTGGGAGGCCCAGTGCTCCATCCCATGCCCAGGGTTATAGAATGACATCGGGAACAGGAGATAGAATCCAGGAGACAAGAACAAGTTGAGGACAAGGCAGGTCTTTAGTCTCCTAGCAGCAACTTTGAGAAAGAGAGGGATCCTGGATCTCTCCTTCCAAGTTACAGGCAATAGGCACAGCCACTGTCACTCATGGGCTCTAGACATCTGAGGACTCAGCCAATCAGGGGGCTCAGAACTATGGTTTCCTCTTTGCTCTGAGGCCAGAGCCTGGTACAGGCCAAGGCCTTGTCTACACTGGAAGATGCCACCTGCAGTGTCTCAGACCAGCCGATTCCCAGCTTGATTCCACCTGTGCATCTGAATCACTTGTCCACACAAGTGTGTTGAGTTTGAAGGTCTGCTTTTTAAGTTGGTTGCCAGTGTTTAAACAGAGAGTACTAACAAGTTAGTGCAGAGCTGTATTGGAGTCCAGAGCCCAATATCCTGTCACTACCAGCCCAGGGGTAGCACCACCCACAATGGCCTAAGTCCTCCCAAAACAATTAACAATCATGAAAATGCTCGATGGGCCAATCTAGTGGTCGCATTTTCTCAATTGAGATTCCTTCCTCCATAATTACTCTGGCTTGACATAGAACTAGTCCACACACAGTGTGAACTCCTATGCATTCTTTAAGACCCAACTCTATGTCACCTACTTGAAGAAGTCCCCCCCCCAAGACTCTAAGGCAGTTAGTTAGCTTTCTGCCTTTTGTGACCCCCAAAGTGCTCTGCCCTTGCTCTCTATGCCATGCCCTGGTTGCCTCTCGCTCTAACTGGCTAAGGGTCTGTTCCTCCACAGCTCAGTTCCTCCAGGGTTGGAGACCACCTGTATCATTCCTAACACAGAATAGGCCAAGTCGGGGCCCCAGTAAGTGTTTGATAATATAAGGAAGAAGAAATCATATGGAGATACGATGGAACAGGACAATGTAGAGATCTCGTGGTGAAAACCTGGATTACGGGTGCCAGGGAGGTGGTACATCAGGGAAAGTGCCTGTCACACACATGTGAGGAGGACCTAGGTTCAGATCCCCAGAGTCTGCATAAAGCAGGTGTGGTAGTGCATAAAGTAGGTATCATAGTGCATCTATGATACTGGTGGTCCTACAGCAGGCAGATGGAAAACAGAGGCAGAAGAGTCCCTGGAAGCTCACAGGCCAGCTGGTATACTCAGTATAGTGCAACAAGAGACTCGCTCAAACAAAGTGGAAGGTGAGACAGACCATCTGAGATTGGTCATGACCTCTGACCACATATGTACAGATGCACAGGCAAAAACAAAAAGTCTTGATTGTGAATGAACATTGAATTGAGACCTGGGTAGGAGAACTTGTGGGTGGATGGGTGGATGGATGGATGGATGGATGGAGGTGTTGGAGGTTTAATGATGAAAGACTGGATTTTGACTGAACACTTGTTGAATAGAAGGATAAATAAAATAGTGCCTGAGTAGAAGGGGGTGGGTGGGTGGTTTTATAGATAAAGTATGAATGTGTAAGTGGAAAAGTGGTTCATACACACATTCATGAAGGCCAAGAGAATTGAGAAAACCAACAGTCACTATGTCTAAAAGTTGCCCACTATGAGATGTACATCACATGACTGCTGAAGTGGCCAGAAGACCACAGAGTCACAGGACAGCTCCTGGAGGGAGCAGCAGCTTGGGACTTTGCAAACAGCAAATCAATCAACTAATCTAGATCTTATTGACAGCCTTCTGTTCATGTAGCCTACCACATTATCAAATATGCACCCCAAGGAGCCTGTTTGGTGGGGACTCTTGCTGGTGACAAGGCCTTATAGAACAGAATGCCTGAAGTAGGTACACAGGGGTCTCAGAGTGCATCTGAGAGCAAAGGCAAGAGAGATGGTTCTAAACTAACATATCACAGAATAAGCCAACTGGATGAAGTCCTGAATTGACAGACACACATTATTTTAAGTTAAAGGACATTGAGCTAAAAATTATAACACTGAGACTGCTGCAAAGAAAAGATAGTGGGCTCCTGTGTACTGAGGAACATCCAGGAGTAATGTGTTACACAGCATCCCTATTGGTTGGCACTGTAGTCTGGCCTTATTGAAAGATGTGTATATCCAACAGGAAGGCTAAGGAGTCCACTTGGATCCTGCCCCTCAACATATCTGAACCAGAGCAGGTTAATTCCTCTCTCAGAATCTTACCCACAGGAAGGCTCTACAGTAAAATGGAGGCGTGAATCTTCAACATTCTTCTTCTAGCTCAAAATAATAACTTCTACTTTTTAATCATCTTATAAATACTGTGACTTCTGCTCATTTATATCATAGTCAGTGGTTCCCAAAATATCCCTGGATATGTCTTTGTTCATTTACAGATAAGGAGAAAAGGTGGCAAGACGAGAAAGGCCCTCCAGGTCACCCCACACTAATAGAGCACATCTCAAATGCAGTCTATCTCTCTACAAACTGCTCTCTCAAAAAGGTCATTAGCTCCCCATGAAATAAAGAGTATCTATCTACCATCCGCTGTGAAAATCCAGGGGGAGCTTAGTGATAGACAGCTCAGCTTGTCAACACCTGAACTCACCCATCAATCTCAATCTTGTGTGAGATAGGCAGGCACAGTGGGGCCCTCTGTGAGAAGTGTAGTGTACAGAGCTATCTGTGACTTTAAACAGAGGTTGGGGGTGGGACTCCATTGGTCGAGGGCTTGCCCAGCATGTACAAATCCCTGGGTTTGATCTCTAATACTACATAAACCAAAGGTGGTAGTGCATACCTGGAACCCTTGAAACTGGGCAGGAGGATCAGAACTTCAAGGTCATTCTCAGCTACACTAGGAGTCCGAGGCCAGCCTAGGTTACATGAAACTTGGCACAATAATAAGGGGTGGGGGGCTAAGAAGGAGAAAGGAAAGAAAGAACTAGAATCGTTTCAAGCCTTTAAGACTAAAAGCCCATTTTTCAAAAATACAGGAAATAAAGGAATATGTTAGACAATTACATTCAGAAGCAACCAGCTGAATCCAAATGCGCATCTCTCCAGGACTCAGTTCCTGACGTGACCCAGAAGAGGCAGGAGACCCCAGGGAGAAAGGAGACACAGAGCCATGCTGCCAAAGCCTAACCCATTGACCTTATCTGGATCCTGCCTGAACACAGAAATGCCAGTCGTTTATAAAGAACAAACGAGGGAGCTGGAGGGATGGACCAGCAGTGAAGAACATCTGTTGTTCTCTCAGAGGACCGGAGCTCAGCTCCCTGTACCCATGCCAAGCAGCTCACAGCCATCTGCAACTCCAGCTCCAGAGGACCCAGCACCCTCTTCAGTACTCTTTGGGTACCTGCACTCATGTGAATGGATGCACATAGATACACACATGCATATGCGTACTTAAAAACAAAATCTTGTGAAATGGAGTAAATTACATGGTCAGAGAATCCTAACTGTGACAGGAATTAGGGAGCATGAAGGGATTGTCTGGGTTTTCTAAAGATGTAAGAATGATACTGTGGTGGGGTGTGTGGTGGTGGTGGGGTTAATGTCCTGTCGTTTTAGAGTATCAAATTCTAGTGCTCCTATATGAGTTGGCACGATGTCTGAAATTTGCCCACACCATGTGGGACAAGGAAGAAAGTTCCCTGGACAGAAGAGAATACAAGACAGGGTTGTGGGCTGATAGGCAGCAGGAACTCAACCACTTGTTTCTTGACTTTTGCATGTTTGAAAGTTTCTCTAATAAACACTTAACCCTCCAAATCACGAAGCAAGAAGTTGTAAAGATGTTTTATGAGTGACATAAATATGAACTAAGTCACAGAGTTGGTAGGAATGGGGGAGAGGAAAAATGCCCAGTGGCATTTGTCTCCAGGATCTACGACACTGAGCAAGAAAAGAAAGAGGGCCTTCTCCACGTGCTCCCACAGGCCCTGAGCCAACCACATACTCTGTATCACATTAAGACCTGCTTTGTCTGAAGGACTGGGTGCCATGTTTGTAATGGCAGAGAATGGGTATTGAGGCTTCTTCACCTGAAGCATCTTGCTTTACCCTAACTTTCCTGAACCCTAACAGCTCTGGGAAGAGTGTGAGGGAACAGAACTTGGAAAGAGCCAGGAGACTACTCACGATGGTGTCACACCAGAACTCAGCCACTTCACCGAGCCGCATGGAAGTCAGCAGCGTCTCCCACACCTCCAGCTTGAACATGTTGCCGATGATGATGTTCATGGGCTGGCCCACCTGCTTGCTGTCATCGATCACCGTGCGTTCGTCATCACACTTCATTGTTCGGAAATGAAAGGCCACCTAGTCCCCAGAACAGAGGGCCCAGGTGTAGACATACCTCTGCAGTTCCAGCAGCTGTCACCCAACCACCACAGACCACCAAGGCTGTCCTTGGGGTCAGCTCACCCACATCTCATAAAAGAAGACGTCTCAGCTCCTCCTCCAATACCTACATATCCCCACAAGAAGCACATTCCTTTCCAGCAAACCCTATACCCATTTCTCACAGCCAACTTCGAGGAATTCCTTCTCCAATAAGTTCAAATGTCCAGGGATGTGTTTCTCCACCCTGAGAGACCCATCAAACACAAGAGGACAAACTCCATAACTCCTGAGGATCCTTCCTACTCATTTGATATTTGGAATTCTGGAAAATTTCCTCAACCCCTCCTCTTAGCCCACACTAAAGTTACCCTGAAAACTACCAAAAAGACCTGTTTATAAACTCCGAAGCAAGGGAGCCTGGGTGCTGGATGGGCATTTCCAGCAAAGGCCTGCCTGGCTGGTTTAGGGCTACCTGTAATGCTCTGTGCACAACTGAAACAGAGGAAGGGACCATGGGGGTTCTATCTGAGGGTAGATACTCACTCTGGAGCCAGTTATGAAGTTGGGGAGCTCTCCCGTTCCCCCGTGCAAAATGGTCTTCTTGACACCCTCCACATTGAGGAGTAGAGAGACGTCCATGCTGCACGTAGAGGGAAGGTTTGCTCAGGCCTAGATAACCCTACCAAAGCAGGGAACAGTCTGCTGATACCCAGGAAGACGCTTGTGCAAACCTAGATAATCCCGCCAGAGGGGAGGACATCAGCTGACACCCAGAGGATTTCTGAACAGGGAGGGAAGAAGGAAGATGGAAGGAAGGTAGCCTAGCCACTACAGACTCCAGGGTCCACATTCCTCAGGATCTCTCAGTAGATGCAGATTCCCTGTCTGACACCCATAGTACAGGCTTTGCTTTTGTGCCACCTCAATGAAAAAGATCCACGGATGTTTCTGTGGAGAGGGAGAGGAGAAAGCAGGCAGCAGTAGAGGACTGGGGCCAGTAGAGGGGAAAAGGAGGGAGGCTCAAAGCCACCATTGCCAGTCTTGTGTCTGTAGTTCCGACCTTGTCTCGGTGTCTGTCTCTTAGCATCTCCATTTTCCCCTGCTCCTCTTCTCCTGGGGTCTGGGAGAAGGTTTCTAGCTTTGGTGTAACTAAGAAAGTTAACCCAGTTCTGGGGGAAATTGAGGAGTTCCTAGAGTCAAGCTTCTGCCTCCACTCTAAGGTCTGGCTGAGGGGGTGGGGCTCTCCCCAGTCCTTTAGAGGGCCTTTGTCCTGGGTCCTGAAAAGCAGGCAGAGCTTACGTGGTGCCGGAGGAATCTCCCTGGGGGACTAGAAGAGAAAGGGTAATATGTCGGCTTGGTGTTTGGCGCCACCTTGTGGCCAGCTCAAACTCTCATGCTTCTTTCCCAGAGCCTTAAGGTAGATGAAAGGATCACCACCAGTCCCTTCTGGGCATTGACATGTGACCAAGAGAGATTACAGTAACCTTGCCACAGGGAGACATTATAACTGGCTAGAAATCAACCAGAGCTTCCTACATCAACGCTAATGGCTTCATGGCCTTGGGCATCTCCAGCCACCCTCCCTCTGGTCCCTTCTCCAGGAAGGCCAGAAACCTGGGGATATTCAGCACCCTCAAAAGTGTTGATTTCCATAAGAAGTCCTTGCCTTAAAGGATCACAAACCTAGGCCAACCTGTCAGAAACAGGATGCAACTTGGCTTTCTAAAAAGCCCCCCACCCACCCAGTGCCAGCTGAGGTCCACTCAGACCTGTCTCCATTCCAGTCTTAGAGAGGTGTAGACACTTTTTTCCTCTTCCATTTCTCTCTGGTCACACAGCAGCTTTAAAGAGACTGCCTTGGCCACATACACCAGGGTCAGGCACTGACTCTGAGCTCCCTGCTGTCTTTTACCCCTGACCTGATGAGACCACTGTCTTGTGAGTCACTTTATAATGACCCTTTATAATGCGGTTTCTCTTTGGGACATTTCTCTCTCCTGATCAGATGCACAATGGCAGAAAAGGATCGTCACGCCCCATCTCGATGCTTCACATTTGGCTATTGTTTCCATATCTTACTTTGCAGAGAGTCAAATGGCACACAGCAAAGGGATTCCAGCAGCCAGGCTTCACTGCTAAGGGGGACTGGTCCATTGCCTGTTTAGACCATAGCCTCAAATCTTTCCAAGGCCTCATTGAAATACATTTCCAGTCACCTGTTTTCTTCAAATCCAGATGAGTTCCCACTCTCTTCAGGTCCATTCTAAACTCCTTCTCTAACCTTCAAGTCTCTGGTCCTGGTCTCCACCCTAGGCATGCTCTCTGCTTCTCTCAGCCTTATTCCAGTCAGTCCAGGAACGTGGCAGTGTTCCTGACATCACCCTCCACCCAGTGCCTCAGGTAAAATGCCACATATTTGAGAAACCCTACCTCCAACCCAGCTAAGGTCCCGATATCCCATGTACATCCCATAATCCCTGGCTCTTTGTGTCCATAGCATTCCGCATGTAGTAACTGCTGGATATCTTTGTTTTTTTTTCTATGAGATTTGATCATTCTGGGGGTGGGCAGAACTAGTGAAAGCTTTGAGGCTGAAGCAGAAGCCAGGGGAGGGGGGCTGCCGGAACACCCTCTTCTAACCCCCCCCCATCCTCCACAGAGAAAAAGGGAGAGCTGAGCCTCACTAGGGCATCTTGCTTTACTGTCCTCCAGCTGAGGAGACCCTGCTCCTGGCCCTCATCAAAGAGCTACACCTGTGTGGAGCCCCCTCCAGCCCCTCTCTATGCAAGGCTGAAGGGAGCAGCTTCCCATTCAGAAGAAAATAGTTCTTCTGCCTTCTTTTGTTGCCATGGAGACTTCCCTTCATTAACCTGGTCTGCCAGTTACGTCTCCAAGTGGCAAAAGGGTAAAGAGCTGCAAGCATTCCGAATTCTCTCTACACACATGCATGCATGCACACACTCTTCTAGGTGCTTAGCAAGGATGTGTGACCCAGAGAGAGGAGCGCAGGCAGGGCTCAGAGTCAGAGACCCAGGACCTCGCCTGTCTGAATCTCCAGTGTCGTCATCAGTAATGAGGTTAAAAATAGATCCGACGTCCTAGAGCTACAGAGAGTGGAGGAGGAAGAATGTCGATGCTCTTAGCCGTGTCTGACACGTGGCAAGGGCTCAGAAATTATAAGCTCTTATTATGAATGCCTTGACATGCCAGGCGCTGCGGCAGATGCTGAGGAGTTGAGTGTGGGGAAGCGCTGTTTGAGAGATTCATTTCCTAACGTTTTTGTCTTCATTGAGTCTTGCCCACACTTTGAATTCCGTCCTCATAGAAACCACTCTCTCTTCCTCCCTCTGATTCATCTCCTGATTATGATCGCAAACACAAGCGGCCTAACGCAAGCAGGTTGAGAAGCAAGCATTTGTGATTCCTGGTAAACAGTTCCATGGAGGAGAGAGGGGCGGGGGGCGGGGGCGGGGGCGGGGGGGAGACGACAAAGTCATCAAGCAAATGAGAGCAAACCGAATAGGCTTGCAAACCTCAACCTAGACTCACTGTCACCCAGGAGGACAGCAATAAAGCGTCTCCAAGCACATCACATAGCCATAGCCGTTCCAGAAGATTTTGTGTGTTTGTGTGTGTGTGTGTGTGTGTGTGTGTGTGTGTGTTTCCAGAGAGTGGCCTTAAACTTGATATGCCCTGTGCAAAAACAAAAAATAAACACACAATCACAAAGACAAATGCCTACAAACATACACTCTGCCTGGCCACGTTCATTGCCTGGGTCTCACGTTTAGATAACACACAGTTCTCTGACTGATTATTGGAGATTTGATCTGGAAATACTCATCTCTCCACACATGCTGAGCTTGAGAATCATGGGTGTAAGAAAGAAGAAAGCACGGAGTTTAATAAATCACAAGTTCCCACTGGTGAGATTAGGGAGATTTGGGGGGAGCAGGGAACCAGAGTGTCTTCCCCTTGGGTCTTTTGGCTTTAAGTAACCAACAGGAGGTGACAGGACCCAGAAGAGCTTCAGGAGTCAAGGGAGAGATCCCGGCTGGGAAAGTGTGAGGTCTGAGGAGCGACAGTGAGTGGGGTTGACCCTGGTCACGTCGAGCCTGCTCCTGCATACATGGCATTTGGTTCTTTCACCCTGCTGCCTTCACCCTTCTCCCTGTTAGTGAGTGAAATGTACGGCCAGTCTCTCTACACCTCAGTTACCTCATAGAACTGTAGAGCACTGGGGGGATAAAACGGGTTCACGGATACACAGGGAATGTTTGAAAGTGCTATATACAAATCAACCATTATTGTGGGGGGTTAGGGGTTGGGAGGTGAACACTAATGTTTAAGGAGAGGGTCAGACAATCAGAAGAGGCCTGAAGAGTCTAGGAGTCTCACTCCAGGCTTAGGCAAGGAAACAGAAAGAAGAGTAATGCTTCTTTGAGAACCGGGTAAGAAGGCTCCATTGTGGTGGCACACTGGGCCCCTTGATTTCAATAATGGGGAGGCTGAGTCAAGAATGTGGCCAGTTAGAGCCCATTCCCAGCTACAGGGAGACCCTGGTTTTAAAAGAGGTGGGCAGGAGAGATAGCTCATCCCCTAAAAGCCTGCTGCTCGTGCAGAGGGACTTGTTTGGTTTTGAGCACCCACAAGTGGTGCCTCACAACCTCTTCGAACTCCAGCTCCAGAGGATCTGACTTCCTCTTCTGCGTGGTCCCCACCCCACCCCGCAGGCACTTACATTCACAGAGACACATAGTTAAAAATAAAAATATTCTTTATAAGTCAAAACCATAAAAATAAAAGCATAAGAGAAAGTGATCCAGGCTGGGGTGGTGTTGGTGCTGGTGCTGGTGCTGGTGGTGCTGGTGATGGTGGTGGTTTGTCGTCGTCTTTGTTTTCTGTTTTGTAATTTTAGCTTGCTGGGAGACTAAGGAAAAGACAGATTGAAAGATGCCTGGAACAAGACCAGGAAAAGGACCTGACCTAATGGGCGGAGAGATTGATCTACAGTCTGTCTTCTTGGGTGTGCTTTCTTGGGCGCTAGCCGGGTGGTTTGTTTGAGGAACAGACAGGGGCAGGGCCATCTCACAGGAAGGAAGAGGATTAGGCGGGGAATTTGAAACAAAACTTCCCAGGGAACGCAAAGCTCGGCAGTCCCAGCCTATCGCTCTGACAAAACTACTAGACGTGAGAGAGAAGTTAGGCGGGGTGAATGGCTGAAAGGGGTGCCCTGGGTGGCGGTGACCTGAGCCCCCGCAGCATCCTGCACAGTAGCACCCTGACCAGCTGGCTTGAGGGAGAGAGCCTGGGAGTACAATGGACGAGACGCGGCCGCCCGGGACCAAGCAGCTGGGATGTAGGGAGGGGGGCTGGGCTGTGACTGTAATCAGTTTGCGAACTGGACCCTGGCGGCGAGCCAGGCGGGGGTCTCCGACCGATGTATGGGCGTGGCCAGGCCAATCCCGAGGCAAGATTTACAGTCACGAGAGAAAAAGACCAATCGAAATCCAGGGGCGGCGGCGGATGGCTGATAGGGCCAATGGGCTGCAAGCACCGGAATGGGGCGGGACCGCGCGGAGTTTCAAATCAGTGGCGGTGGGCTAGGAGGAGGGTGTCGATCTTCGTATCCGGGTATCAAGCAGGGAGGTGAGCACGCGGGGACACCGAGGGGCTTGGGGAGGGGGGGT